CATAACATGTGCTCGCGTCCGCAGCTGCAGTTCGTTGCTGGCCGTTCGGTTTCTTGTAGTTGCTCGCAATCTTTGACAGCGTCGCCGTCGGGCCTATCCCCGCACTGGCAGTCAGCCGCGTCTCCGCGAACACGCGCGCGCGGAACTCGGACGCAACATCCGCCGCAGTCATGCCAGGGTGGGCCCGCAGGTACGCCGTCACCTCCATCGTCAGCTCGTCAAGGCCCACGCTGGTGAAGTTGGGGTCGTAGTCGGCCGCAATGCCCCGCACCACGGCGCTCTCCGCGTGGTACGCATCAAAGTCTGTTGGCACGATAACGAGCGACGGGCACAGCTTCCTGCCAATGTACCCCGGCATCCCGGAGCGCACGCCGTACCGCCGCGCCACGTAGTTGGTTGTGGACAACATTTCGAAGCTCCCCACACCCAACGGGAGATCCACAAGCGAGGGATCCTTCTTCATCTCCACGGCGGCATAAAACATATCCATGTCCACGTGCACATAATTGCGGAACTGGCGCTCTGCCTCCAGCTCCGCCTCGCACATATTTACCTTTTTTCTTAGTGTACTTTTGGCGGCTGTAGAGAGATGGGGATATGCTGCCGCTTTCGACACGAGTTCCGCATGACGCTGCCTTCGTTGCGCCTCCATTCTCTCTTCATTGAGGTAAAAGGCCGACCCTCTAGAACATTTTTCAATGACATTGTTGACGTGTGCCTTGTCTACACGGGAAAGCCCCGCCTTTGTTGTATCCAGCTGCAACTTGTTGGATGTCTCATTGCCCTGTTTTATCCCCCGTCTTTGCCGATGGACTGTTGCCGCGGCAAGCAGTGCCCAGCAGCGACGCATCGCCGTCACGCACACCGATGACGCCTTTTTCCTCCACGTGTCTCTGTCTCTTCCCGTCCCTCAGTGAAGAGGGGGAGGGGGTTCGGGCCGTTTGTATGGTTTTAAAAAACCGGAGCCGAGATGGGGCGGGGTGGAGCGGAGCCAAAGAAAAACAAAAACAAAACAAAACAGGTGGGGGAGCGGGTAAAGAGAGGGGGAGAAAAAAGAATATATATTTTTTTTCTCTCTCTTCCTTCGCCACCCCCCCGTCCTCCGCTTTTGGCCCCTTCCAACCACCACGCTACTATACGGCTACATAAACAAATGCAGAGAGAGAGAGAGAAATATATATATATATAGCCAAAGGAAAGAAGCCACCATAACTCGTGCGCAGTCACCCATTGCTTTCGCATGGTTGCTTGTTTTTCTCCCATTCCGGCAGTAGAGGCTGCGCACGCAACCACGTCCTCTTCTATAGTGAGGCAAAAAAAAAACACACACACACTTTCGCTACCAACACTGATACTGCTGTGGCGATGGGGGTTGCTTCAGGAGCCGCCTGGCGCCACAGACCTCGCTTCTCTACACACTGCGGACCCCGCCGCGGCAAGGCAGGTGCGCCGGCACAGCTGCAGCAGTGGCGGGGGGCGCATCCACCGGCGACCACCCACGTGATGTGCTGCTTGCCAGACTTCTCACGTGGAGGTGCGGTCCGCCATTTCCGCAGCGCATACTTGCTTCAACTACGCGTTACTCAGTCCACTTGGCTGGGGCCACCGATGCCTCGCAAAGCGGTGTATCGAGCGCCGCGGTATTGACCTGTGGCGACGGATTCCGACCAGCATTTCCCACCAAGGCTAGACGCTCCAAAAGTGTGACGCTATCGTACGATGCAAGTGGCGCTGGTGGAGGAAAAACTCCGGCCTCAATGCGATCTAATGCGTCGCGAAGAAAACTGTTTTCCTGCACCTGCGCGTGTAGAGTGTCCTCCAGCACGGCACAGTTTGCGCGAGCTGTCACTGCGGCCTCCTGCTCATGCGCATAGGCCATGCGGCACTGCTGCAACTCTCGACGAAGCATGTCGATCTCCACTGCGTCGTGTTTGGCCTGCTGCCGCAGGTCTTCACGTGGCGCCGCGCTCATCCCTGGATCCCCTGCTGGAAATGTCATTGGGGCAGCGGCCAAGGGCTCTGGTTCCTTTTCCTCTTCTTCGTCGGCTCGCTTTGGTTCCGCCCGCCACTGCGACTCCTCTTCTATCGTTTGCACCGCAACAGGACGACGGTAGACGTCTGTCGTCTGACACGCCACCGCCGAGGCGCCTTGACTCGTCTGCGTCGCCCTATGGCATCCGCCGCGGCGTTTTCGTTCAATGAGGGCAGCAGCCTTCTTTAGAAGCGCGTGCCCCGCCTCCCTCTTCTCGTCTTCCTCAGCTGACTGAAGCCGCCGCGTCAACTCCGCCACCTCCTCCTGCACAGTTTCTAGCGTGGCTCGCCACTCACTCTGCACCTCCTCCAGCTCAGCCTCGTGCTGCTCGACAATGCCCTCAACCTTGCACTGGTAGCTGTCATAGGCGCGATGTGCCTCTCGTCCAAATGCGTCAAGCATGGCTTCACGATCCTTGTGCCACAGCTGAAACAAGACGGCTGTATTCTCTAGAAAAACACCGTGTTGTAGCAGCATTAGGGCCTGCATGCGCCGCTGCATGAACGCCGCGAAAACAGGAACAGCGGCTATCACCCGCTCCACTTCATCGGTAAAGGCACGTGCTCCGCGAAGGATGTCCAGACACTGCTCAAGGTCCTGCGTCAAGGCAGCGTTGGCGCGTTGAAGCGCAAGGATGGTGGCGGAGCACGTGGGTGTCGCTGCCCTCGTCGACGTCGCCACTCCGTTTTGTGACGCGCGTGGGGAGCCGTGACTACACACGTACTTCATTCCGCTGGCAGTCGCAGCCCCTGCAGGCCCTCAGCCGCTTCCTTTGTGACGCCTCGGCGACGCCAAAGACACAAATATACACACACACGCACAAAGCGAAGCAGGAAGTAGGAATTCGACAAATAAAACAGCAATGAAAACGCAGGCGCCACCGACAACCACCGGTGCGCAACGCGCACGCGTCGCCACAACGAAGCGCGCCCTGGCAACGGCAAGAAGGCCCGTGAAGAATACGCGTAGGTGTAAGGGGTAGGAAGAATACGAGGCCTGTGCTCGCTCTCGCGCTGCGCCACGCCCTACACACTGAAGCGGGAGGGAAGAAGGAACAAATACAAAAAAAAAGGGGGAGGGGGGAGAGAAGTCCCCTCAGAGAGGCGGACCGGGCGCAAATCACTGAGCGAGGCAACTCCCATGCCAGCCAATCATCGCAGGAGGGCAGAGGAGAAAAACAAAAACTCGCTGCAGCTGAGCCTCACGCGCTCAATCAATCACGATGACGTTGTCCTCCCCGCCACTACCCCCTGACCGTCTCACCTTCGCCGGTGGGCTCACACACACCACATCGTCATCATCATCATCGTCACCACCAGCGGCAACGCCAACCGGTGTCCGCGTATTCGCAGAGCAAATCCACACTTCGCCACCATTATTGTCATACCTGAACTCCGCTTCTTTCTTTACTGGGCGTTTTGTCCCCCAACTTGTAAGATGGCCTCTGGCATTGTTGCGAGTGCAGTACTGCAGCAAGGTGCGCTGGACGTTGCCCCGCTGCATCGCCTCGTACTCCGCCTTTGTCATGAGGTCCGTCAGCCGCACACCCACCAGACGCAGGAAAGCGTATTGGTCCAGAATAGGAAGCAGCAGCTCGTCAACCCCGCGGCGGAGGGTCTCCAAATCGTCCGAGTGTTGCGGCAAATTTTTGGAGTACTGGTGTACCTCAAAGCTCACTCGCTTTATCTTTAGCACAATCTGCCGACAAACCAATTCCTTTTTCTCAAGCCCATTATGCGCCGTTTGCAGAGCTGAATGTGCAATCTGCCGCAGATCCAAGCGACTGGAGAGGTTTCTAAAGGTGCGCTCCATGCCGATGGACTTTCGGTCCGCGCCGGTTGCTCGTTCACTTCCGTCCGACACGTCAGCGTCCATCCAGCGCACCACGCCCATGGAAGAGCCCAAGAGAAATCGAAATGTTTTCTCTGTTAGGACGTAGCACAGCTCCACGCGCCGATCGTAAATCCCACCGAGAACGTTGATGCCGAGACCCTGAAGGATACTTTCAGTCGAGCGGCCAATCCCAGGCACGGTCCGCACCGGCAGGTTCTTCATGAAGTCCATAACATCCGCTCGCGTCCGCAGCTGCAGTTCGTGCTGGCCGTTCGGTTTCTTGTAGTTGCTCGCAATCTTTGACAGCGTCGCCGTCGGGCCTATCCCCGCACTGGCAGTCAGCCGCGTCTCCGCGAACACGCGCGCGCGGAACTCGGACGCAACATCCGCCGCAGTCATGCCAGGGTGGGCCCGCAGGTACGCCGTCACCTCCATCGTCAGCTCGTCAAGGCCCACGCTGGTGAAGTTGGGGTCGTAGTCGGCCGCAATGCCCCGCACCACGGCGCTCTCCGCGTGGTACGCATCAAAGTCTGTTGGCACGATAACGAGCGACGGGCACAGCTTCCTGCCAATGTACCCCGGCATCCCGGAGCGCACGCCGTACCGCCGCGCCACGTAGTTGGTTGTGGACAACATTTCGAAGCTCCCCACACCCAACAGGAGATCCACAAGCG